TGCTCATTGTTTTAAATAGGATATACAGATACATAGAAACAACTGAACCGTGGCTTTTTAGAGGGGGAACATTATGCATAAGCTTTATCTCAGGGAAACATGCACCACAGGAGTGGTAGTACAAACCAGAACAAATTGGTGACTTAATTATTGGAACCCAATACGTTCCCAAACTACCATACATCTAGTATTAATGTAAAGACTTCTCTGGACACCAAATCATATTTAGTGCATATAAAAGGGACACTGTAGGTGTTCTAACAATTTCACTTCACTTGAGTTTGTTATAGCGGGCACTGTCCTATCATTCAGTGGTAAACCATTTAAGCAGTCCCTGTGTCTAGGGCAGAAATGAAACTTCCTTTTAGCAATAACAATTCATACCTGATTGGGCAAGGAGAGAGTAAGAAAGTGGTCAGCTGGCACACTCTGCCACAGTCGCAGTATGGAGGTGGGGAGAACGAGTTAGAAACTCTTGTTTAGGATTAAAAAATGTTTAAGAATTGTGTCAGACACTGTTGCCACTTACATTCGTACCATGTACATTGTAACCAGACCGTGTTAGCTAAGCTTTTCCCTCTTATAGAAAACAATATCCTGATTTGAAAGTACACAGTGCAGTTCAGATAAAGAGATCATTTTGCGCATCGCTGCTATAACAACTCCACAGCCAATCACTGCCCTCTTATTTGCATAGTTATTCAAGGCCCAAGGCCTAACTAAAGGAAAAGGAAGCAGGTAAAAGGGTAGTGATTAAGCCAAGCATGCACTCAAATGGCTTCTAATCAGATAGTTGCTTTGCAAAAATGCTGAAACGTCTATAAGAAATGAATAAGAAACAGTATTTGCTGGTTAACATATTGTTTATATGTTGTTTTCACATTACATTTTTGCACACGTATACGGTGCCACATACACACTTGCATTTCAACCCCATCGGACACTCTCAATTCATATCCTGTCTTGTTTGTTATCTCAAAACTGAAAAATACAGATGGTCAAAAAAACAAACAAGTATCCTGACCAGCTGTTGTGCTAGTGGTACACAAGTTACCAAAGAACATGCAATGTACTGCAGGGTGTTTCAAATTGTAATCCACGACAAAATAGTGAAGTGCATATATTAGAGATTCCCATTAGGTATTTGTTAGACAGATTCTATGGAATCCCACGCTTACATCGATGTTAAAAGCATATATTGTTTCCAGTCTAATTTCTACAAATCTATAAATAGTCTAAGCACCATACCTTGTCAACACCTTCAGCTTCTTTAAATAACACAAAGCCAAAGCCCCTCGATCTCCCAGTTATAGGATCCAGTTTCAGAGTGCAGTCAACAACTTCTCCAAATTTTGAAAAGTAATCCTTCAGGTCTTTTTTTGTTGTGTCCCAGCTAAGTCCTCCAATAAACATTTTCCTGCAAAACAATTATTTTTCTTCTTTATAAAAGGTTCTTGGCAAAAAAAAAAAAGAAAAAAAAAAAGGGGGGGGCGCGCACTACACAGAGGTAAATTAAACTCAAATATGATAAAATAGATGGCATGACACTGAACAATATAGCCGCCAACCTCAAAACAGGATAGATTGGAAGCTCATTTGAGCAGAGCCTTCTCCTACATGGCAATTCTACTATTCCACTCTACATTTATACCACTTATCAAATTCTCCAACCGTTTACATGAACTGAGGTTTGTCACTTGAGTTTTCTTCAAAACACCGTATATTACAAAAAATTTAAATAAAACACCACTGATTGTGATGCAATGAATTTTTTGCATGCTGCATCATGCTGTTTGATAACTAACAAAAATCAGGGCACTCAAAGTCTGGCCCCTTTGTTGCCTTTCCAATAATGCAAGCTTAGAAGCCAATGACAGGTGACGACCAAGGGTCGGCACTTCCACTTATTACTTGCTTTAGTTGAGGCCGGATTAGCAAAAATAATCTGGTTATTTACAGGCTAGAAATTCTGGACAGTTATCAAGATTTATATGAGTTTGGAATATCCAATACCGCTTTTGAATTACAGAAAACAGCCTGAAATCCAGTCTAACATCTGAAATGTGGAACCAAATGGTGGAAATACTACTGCAGTGATACTTAGAATTGCAGCTGTCTGCCAGCAAGTTTGGTCCAAATGAATTTGTAAAGTTCTACTGGGTTCTTTCTTTAACATTGCCACATTTTTAGAGGTGGAGACTGAATTATGCAGCACCATGGAGGAATATATATATACACACACATACATACATATATATATATATATATATATATATATATACACATACACATATACATACACATATACATACATACATACATACATACATACATACATACATACACACATATACACACACACACACCCCCCAAACATTGCAAACGACTATCATGTGGCAAATATTCAGTAAAGACATTACCCCATGATGCACAGTCTTGAAATCATAGGCAAGCAAGGCTAACAAAATAAAATGCACACATCAGAAATGGGCATGCTAAACGCTCTATACAATTCTGCTCATCAAATATGGTAAAATGGTGTCTCCTACTTACAATGATCTGTGAGAGAATCACTGATAACCCATAATATATATATATATATATATATATATATATTTTTTTTTTTTTTTTTTTCCACCAGTACTATAAATTATAATGGTTATTTTGCATTTATGCCTTTAATGGGACAAATCAAGTTTAGTAATAAAGCCACAAAACTATGCCATACATCAGGGATAGACAACCTTTGGCATTACAGATGTTGCAGACTACATTTCCCATGATGCTTTGTCAGCATTATCATTGTAAGACCATTATGGGAGATTTAGTCCGCAACATCTGGAGTGCCATACATCATCGTCCCTCACTCATTCTTTCCTCTAACGTTCTTGGTTGGAGCCTGGTAAATCCGCTTTTCACCCGTGGAGCTCTCAATTCAAATCCCCATGGCAGCAACCTAAGTGCCTCACCATGCATAAAAAAAATCGACACTTGTCCGTCCCACGTTGTGAAAAGTAAAGAACTGAAGGGGAGGGACTTTTTAAATTTATATCTTTCAGACGCTTGTCCCATAAGAAGGTACACCCCTACTGTACTGCAACCATATGACAAAATTAATTTAAAAAAAAAAATTACTGCGAATTGACATATCCAGTCATTGTTCATTTTATCTGGTGCCACACCTGCCTGAATATCGTGGGAAATAGAGAATGGAGAGAGAAAATATACACACACACACACACACACCTTGGCACTCATTCCTTCATCGCATTAATTTCCAAATAGATGCCCTGGTGCAATCCCGTGTTGCATTCTGTATAGAAGTTTGAAGGAAGGGTGCACTCTGAGGTCTTCAGATCATCTTGAGAAAAACCCGAACGGGTCGAAACGGCAATCGAACACTTGTGATGTAATGTTTGAATAAACACCACTATACAATACACACACACAAACCACTACCACGTGGCAAATATTCATTAAAGACATTACCCGTTGATGCAAAGTCTTGGAATCAAAGGCAAGCAAGGCTAACAAAATAAAATGCACACATCAGAAAGGGGCATGCTAAACGCTCTATAAAATTCTGCCCATCAATTATGGTGAAATGGTGTCACCTACTTACAATGATCTGCGAGAGAATCAATGATAACTCATTTACATGCCCCATAGTAATGTAATTGGAAAGATTAGCAGACAGGTATCACCTTTCTCACCTGTGCCAGCTCACTGCAGGAACCTGCAAATCAACTGCATATTCTGCAACCTGCAGAAAATGCAGGGATTTGAAAACAATAGAATCTTTCAATTCACTGTCCCCCTAACACACAGTTTAATGGATTAAAATATAAATATTTATCTCTCTCTTGCACATTTGACCTTGTGAATGATTTAAAGAAGGGGAAACAACAAAGACAATAGATACAAGTCATTAAAACAATAAACAACAGTTGCAAAAGTGTGTTCCCACTGATAGGACCTTCTGGAGGCATGTAAGCCAACAGGTTGGTGGTGATAATACTTTTCCTCAACGGCCAACACCCTAAGAAAAACATGTTATACAATATAAATGGGTAGGAGGGAGATAGGAAGAACAAAAAAAATAAAAAGACATCAAATAGTAACAGGTGAAATTGGCATTTGAGTTCCTAAAACTCACTGTACAAAAATAAACCTAAAAGTAAGGCATTGTTAAAGCGGCACTGTCATGGCCGAATCCCATTTTTTTTTGGTTTGTTTTTTTTACCCCCCCCCTCCCGACTCCACTACATCTAATTGTCCCCCTAGTTACCCCAAATGCTGCTAAGCCCCATCTTTCGTATTTTTTTAACCTTAGTTTACTGTCCGAACCTAGGTGTCCTCACTCTATGGGGGTCAATATAACCCCCATAATAGCACAAGGGAGATTAAAGTTAGGGATCGATCGATATTGATTTTTTAGAGCCGATACAGATATTCTGTGAACTTTCAGGCCGATAGCTGATAACTTACCGATATTCTGTACATTTACCATTTTGAAAAAATAAATATATTTCTAAATGTAAATGCACAAAATATACATACCATGTGTAGTGGATGCAGTGTGTTTAGACAGGGCACCTGTGTGTTTGTGTAGTGTGTGTAGTGGATGCAGTGTGTATATAATGAATGCTGTATATACTAAATGCAAAGTGTGTTTATTTGTGTAGTGTGTATAGTGAATGCAGTGTGTTTATTTGCATAGTGTGTATTTAATGCAGTGTGTGTAGTGTGCATTATATAAACACACTGCACAAACACACTGCATTATATAAACACAGCGTGTTTTGTGTAGTGTTTATATAATGCAGTGTATGTTTGTGTAGGTATGTAATTGAGAGGGCATTTTTTTATTAAAACTTTTTTTTTAAATATGTAATTATTATTTATTTTCTAGTCCCCCCTCCCTGCTTGTTACTTGGCCAGGGAGGGGGGGGGGAATATATCATTCCCTGGTGGTCCAGTGGCATGGAAAGTACAGAGGGGCCCGCAGGTAGCATTTATTTACCTTCCCAGCAGCTCCTTCAGCTCTTCGCAGCGTGCCGCACTGCCATGGCAATGCTCTGACAGCCGCGGATCTAACAAGATTTACACAGAATAGCTGAAGGACCTGCTGGGAAGGCAAGTAAACGCTACCTGCGGGCCCCTCCAGGACCACCGGGCTTGTAATGTTATATATCAGCAATATCGGTTTCTGAATAATCGGCCGATCCCTTATTAAAGTCTCCTGAATGCCCCTACTCACCATGCTGCGAGTAGAGGTATGTTTACTAAACAGTAGGCAGTCAGTGGCTGCTCACTTAAAAAAAGTCCCCTAGTGCCACTCCCACCTCCAGAGCCCCCGTCCGTGTGTGGGGATGCTAGGTCATAAGCAGCGGGAGGGGGCCCTAAAGGATTATGTGGGGTGCGGGGGGCTTATAACTCCCTGCAATTTGACTTAGAGCACTCTGGTTGATAGACTTCAAGCCAAACTAGCGTGCTCTGACAGGTAAATGAAGAGACTGACAGGCAAGTCTCTACATTTACCGGACACAACATTCTGATTGGTTGGCTTGAAATCCAACCAGAGTGCTCTATCATTTTACACAGCGTGGGAAAGTTCTTTGGAATTTTCCCATGCTGTGTAATTTTACTCCTAACACGTATTTATTGCTTTTCAAATACAGGGGCACAATTTACTAATACCAAGTCATCTTTACTTAGTATTAGTAAATTTGGCCTTTTGGTAGGTAGCTCAATAATACCATGGGAATTAAGGAGTTATCTACTAGTAGGATGCAGCCGCAGCACGAATCGGGTTGGAATTTCATTTATTCGAATGAAATTCCTATCCAAACAAGTCCCGAATTGCGCCCTAACACGAATGGAGAAACTGTTCTCATTCTGTTAGGACGCATTTCGGTAGTTTAGCCGGCGTTCTGTCTAAATGACAGGATGTTTGGGAATATTGAAGCATCACAAGATCACGGAGGAAAAGCAAGAATTGTGGGGAAATTTCTCTGACCACAGAAAACGGAGCACACTTTGCTCCTCCGCTGGTCATAGATGTTCAGACGTAGGAACCCTCAATAAGACAAAATAGTCCCTACTTTGTCTTATGTTTTTAAGAAAACTAGAGCAGACAGGAAGAAATGAACAGATTGTGACAGAGTGAGAGTAGAGGAATCGATTGGGGAAAAAGGTAAGTTCTGCATGACAGTGCCGCTTTAAGCATTTGTGAAACTCTAAAAGTTGAGCAATCACCAGGAGGTTGAAATATTACATCTAATTGCTCCAAACGCAGACCTGTGTTCCACAATTGTTCTTTATTCTTAACCCCATAGGGTATCAACTAGGTGGTTTAATATGCTTCGGGGGATATTTCTGCAATTATATAAATTACTTGAAACCAATAAGCTTGCCAACAATGAAAGATCGCAAGCAATAATACAATTAAAATGTGTTTTAAAAACAATTGTGGTCTATCTTCTAAATTAAATATATTGAATTTGTGCAACAGCCACATATGTGGAGGGAAGGGGGTGTGGAACTAGGAACAAATGGTTGCTAGCTCCATTTCCAAAGAGGACTATAAATTTGCTCAAGGAGCTTCAATCAAAAGGGTTGTAGTAAAATCCATCATATATTGATAATTTCAGATTTTAGCCATAATAACATAAAAAGAAGGAGAGACACACTTTTTGTGCCTTATGACGATCATTTCCTCCTCCCCTTATTTTTATTGCTATGGCTGAATTTTTAAGTTTATTAATAAATACTGGATTTACTACTACTAACCCACGGTGCTTAGAACGCCCATTTATATACAGGGAAAAATATATCTTATCTAATCTTTATTTTGTTGGATCAGTTTATTTTTTTCTACTTATAGTTGCATGGTAACTATGTTATTGTGTTATGATATAGGGATCATTTGGTAGGATTTCAAATGTTGACAAAAGGCTTGGCCATGAAACTCAGTTTCTATGTAACTTTCCTGCTCCCTTACTTAAAGAGCCAGGGACCTACTTTTGCATTTCTTGCTTCTCCCATATCCCACCTATTATTGAAATAAAAGATTAACTAGATAAGAAAATGTGTAATATTTTGAAATGCATACATATTAAACCTTTTAAGTGTGCCCCCTGGCTTACAGTAATCGTTAAACACTCTTTGGTCATAATCAGCATTTAAACTTTAAGATCATGCAGGTAATGAAGTGCTAGTGTGAATTTATGAATTATGACAACATAAGAAATTGAAGGATATCCATGGTACAATTTCAGACCTTTGAATAAGTGTATGGTCTAAGACAGGGGTTCCCAACCCAGTCCTTAAATACCCCTAGCAGCCCAGGATGTAGGGATTACCCTGTTGTGTCTAAAGTGTTTTTTTTTCTTTTTTCTTCTAAATCCTGGACAGTTAGGGGGTACTTAAAGGCTGGGTTGAGGAATCACTGGTATAAGCGAATGTTACTTCGGACTAAAGAGGACTAAAGATGGCCACTTCTACAGAGCAAGGGTCTGGAGGCACGCATTAAAATAGCAACTTAATATTTTAAATACATAAAGAATTTCTTACATGTAATAATTTTCAGTAGTAAAAAATAAAACAAAAAAAAACCACTGCACGATCCATATTACTTCCTTTGAAGATAGGCACCCAGAGCATTTCATCTCAAAGAAGTTGTCTGGGTGCCAGGACCTTGCCATTTTAATCATGCAAGTTAAAATATTGCTGTTCTACATTGCATGGTTTAAATGCCTCTAGAGGCTGTCACTCTGACAGCCAATAGAGAGGCTTCCACCGAAATAGACTAGTGAAACTCCGCTATAACAATAAGATTGTCTTACAGAGATCGTCTTGATTGGCACAGTGCAGCGCCACAGGAAAGCCGTGATCCAACTCCTTGTCTGAAATAATTCATTTTGATGGCTGAAATCATCAAAATGAATTATTTCAGACAAGGAGTCGGAGCTTGCCCAGAGACCAGCAGGCTGCGGGATATAAGGTAAGCAAATCTCCGTTTTAAATCATCACGTGGCTAGGGCTGTGAACTGCTCCATGGGAGAATGACTTACCCCATAAACCTCTGCTGGATAGGAGTTTATAGAATAGGATGAGACTTTAAAAACCAGAAGGAGCACCCCTCTTAGTGGTCTGAGGGGCTCTCTCTGCTGTTGTTGCTTGCCTGTGCTTAAATTGAGGAAAGCCACCAGCAAAATAAAAAAAAATATATATACACACACACACATATACTTAATGTCTGTGATACACTGAACAGATTTTCAGTAATCATGTGAAAGACATGGTCTAGGAAGCTCCATTCATAATTTTAATGTAAACAAATAACTTTTTGCATGCATATTAAAACTAGGCAAATAAAGTTATCCAGATTGTTATATGCATAAGTAATCCATATGTCTAGGGTGTTCAATGTGCAACTGTCATGCGCCAAACAACGTATTCTAGTTAGATTGGGCATAACATTTTTATCTATACATTGTGCCAGTTTTGCTACCAAATTTATAGATTAGGAGAAAAACCTATTTAAAAAAAAAAAAAAAAAAAAAAATTTTCTCCCAGCTGTCAGTCAATAGCTCTGTGTGCCAAGGCACTGACTGACAAAGGAGAGCAGATATGATCTCCTACAGGAGGTCCATCTGCTCTCCTCCCATAGCAAGCACATTGCATGCTCTGTGCTTGCTATGGAAACTCCATAGCCAGCGTTTCTAGTGCTGGCTGCATGGTATAGGAATGGAGTGACATGACGTCACTCCGTTCCAATGCCGCCACACTGGCAATGAAGCCAGCATGCAGACATTTGTCCTGTTTGGGGATGCGTCCCAAGTAGGGCAAGTCAAAAAAGACTTCAGGAGGAGTCGAGGGAGGACAGCAAGGAGGTGGGTGTTACATGAAGAGTAACACACACGAAGCGGCGCTGGAATGGAGCAAATGGGGAGTAAATATTTTACACTGAATACATCATGTAGCTTATTTGGATTATTCAATGTATATAGAAACGATTTCATGCAAGTTATTTTCATAACAGGTTCAAAAGGCACTTTATGGTCATTTGCTGCAAACCTATGAAAATAAACACATGCTTTTAATGTCTGTGCTATGGTTTCCAAATTCAACAAATTTCAGGCTGTTTCTTCACATGGTTTGTTACATTTAATGTGCTCTTTTGCAGTTTGTAAGATATTATGCAGAATGGCCATCAGATAAAAAGGTATTTGAGATTCTTCCTTTATTAGTAAGCATATAATTTTTTTCATACTGCAGGGCAACATTTTTCACATGTACAGCAGCATTAAAATGTGTATGTCCGTCTAGAAAATACTGGACATCCTGTTCAGTCTGATCCCCGTGGTGGACATTTTCCTTTCAGAGCCATGGTAAAAAAGTTACTTGGGCCATGAGCACTTATTGAAGCAGTTCCTTGAACTCACAATTGTGCAACTGGGCAAATAGATCACTAACATTTTAGAACAAAATAAACTGGAAAGGTTAGCTCTGGTTTATTCACAAAATCACTAATCATACAAAATGAAAAATGGAGGCCAACATTGATGACTTTGAAATATTCTTCAATTTAGATATTGACAGTTTGGCTATTTTTAGGCACTCTAATTTGTAATTTAGTGGTTGACCCAGAGCTATGTTTTCAGTTCAGCTACTTTGGCCTAGATTCTGAAATTCACATTAAAGTACATAACCCTGTCTCTTGGCTGGTGTAGAAGTTGGGCTGCCAGATCTATACCCTGGGCTAGTGTATGCAGTCTGCATTCTGATAGGGCAGAACATGAAAAGTTCTCCCTTTCAGTATGCAAAAATGTGCATGCTTATGAAATAAAATCTATAAAAGAGTAATTAAAGAGGAAAAAACAGAATTAACTCGTTTCAGGAGTCCCCTCCTCCAGCACATGAATACTACATACTAACAACATGACAATACTTTTTATGGGCTACTATTCAGTACAGAGAATTGTAATATGTCTGGAAATTCCATGGTGGAATAACATGGAAGGATGTGGAATCCTACTGCTACAATGTTCCATGAACAGAGTCCCCTGCTCTGCTGTATGGAATGGACACAGCCTGACTGCTCTCAGCGCTCACCCCTCGTCTTCCTCCGTCTTGCTGGCATCAATCTTCACCC